GTATACTCGTGTTTATTGACAGAACGACACAAGTGTCGTTTAACAGCTCTTGTGTCGTTCTGTTGATTTTTCAAATATTTTGATTCTTTTCCAACGCAGCGACCTCAAACATGGACTCCCTAATTTAAGAAAGTTAGAAATGTTGATCACGTGATAAAGAACGGTCGAATTGACATAGATTATACAACATTGAGTTGGTAAAATCGCTAGTCATTGTATTAATTCGTTAGAAAATATAATCAATAAGCACATCTCTCAACTTTTGTAAACAAAATGTTAATATTGCAATCGAAATGAGTTCAACTTATTGACTCTTGGGGCATGGATGGGTCGTGGCTAGTATGCTTGTGTTTATTTACAGAACGACACAAGTGTCGTTTAACAGCTCTTGTGTCGTTCTGTTAATTTTTCAAATATTTTGCTTCTTTTCCAAAACAGTGACCTCAAATAACGGTAGAATTGGTATAGATTATAAATGTCATGTTGGTGAAATCACAAGTCACCATCCACATTCGTTACAAATCAAAAGCAATGAGAGTATCTCCCGAATTATGTAAGTGACATGTTCATCTTGTGACTTAAATGAGTTCAAATTATGGAATATCAAGGCCTGGGAGGCTCGTGGCTGCTCATACTCGTGTTTATCGACAGAACGACACTAGTGACGTTTAACGGTACCTGTGTCGTTCTTTTGATTTTTCCTATATTTCGCATCATTTCCATCGCGTCGACCTCAAAGATCGAACCTCCTAATTTAAGAAAGTTAGAATTATTAATTACGTGATGAATAACGATAGAATTGGCATAATTGTAGATGTCGCGTTGGTGAAATCACAAGTCACTATCCACATTCATTGGAAAACAAAAGTAATGAGAATATCTCCCAAATTATGTGAGTGGCATGTCCATCTAGCGATTTAAATGAGTTCAAATTATCGAATATCGAGGCCCGAAAGGCTCGTGGCTGCTTATACTCGTGTTTATCGACAGAACGACACATGTAATGTTTAACGGCACCTGTGTTGTTCTGTTGGTTTCTTTTATATTTCTCTTCATTTCCACCGCGTCGACTTAAAGGATCGGACCTCCTAACATAAGAAAGTCTGAATTATTGATTACATGGCGAATAACGACAGAATTGGCATAGATTGTAGATGTCGCGTTGGTGAAATCACAAGTCACCATCTACATTCGTTGGAAAACAAAAGTAATGAGAATATCTCCCGAATTATGTGAGCGACATATCCATCTCGTGACTTAAATGAGTTCAAATTATGGAATATCAAAGCCCGAAAGGCTCGTGGCTGCTCATACTCGTGTTTATCGACAGAACGACACAAGTGACGTTTAACGGTACCTGTGTCGTTCTGTTGGATTTTCCTATATTTCGCTTCATTTTCATCGCGTCGACCTCAAGGATCGGACCTCCTAACTTAAGAAAGTCAGAATTATTAATTACGTGACGAATAACGATAGAATTGACATATATTGTAGATGTCGCGTTGGTGAAATCACAAGTCACCATCCACATTCGTTGGAAAATAAAAGTAATGAGAGTATCTCCCAAATTATGTGAGCGGCATGTCCATCTCGCGACTTAAATGAGTTCAAATTATCGAATATAGGCCTGGAAGGCCCGTGGCTGTTCATACTCGTGTTTATCAACAGAACGACACAGGTACCGTTAAAAGGGCACCTCTGTCGTTCTGTTGGTTTTTCCTATATTTCGCTTCATTTCCATCGCATCGACCTGAAGGATCGGACCTCCTAACTTAAGAAAGTTATAATTATTAATTCCGTGACGAATAACGGTAGAATTAGCATAGATTGTAGATGTCGCGTTGTTGAAATCACAAGACACCATCCACGTTCGTTAAAAAATAAAAGTAATGAGAGTATCTCTCAAATTATGTGAGCTGCATGTCCATCTTGCGACTTAAATGAGTTCAAATTATCGAATATCGAGGCCCGGAAGGCTCGTGGTTATAAATTATCGACTTAATGGCACCTGTGTCGTTCTGTTGGTTTCTCCTATATTTCGCTTCATTTCCACCGCGTCGACCTAAAGGTTCAGACCTGATAATATAAGAAAGTTAGAATTATTGATTACGTGGCAAATAACGGCAGAATTGGCATAGATTGTAGATGTTGCGTTGGTGAAATCACAAGTCACCATTCACATTCGTTGGAAAACAAAAGTAATGAGAGTATCTCCCAAATTATGTGAGCGGCATATTCATCTTGCGACTTAAATGTGTTCAAATTATCGAATATCGAGGCCCGAAAGGCTCATGGCTACTTATACTCGTGCAGATGGCAGATTTATTTTATATATTAAATCTCATAATTTTTCCGACAATTCTAGCATACTCGAAAATACAGGAGAAAAAAGAAACTCTGTCTGCACACACAAATATAGTATGTATACTGCATAATTTTTCTGTCTGCATACGTAATCTCAGTTTCTGTCCAAAGTCGTGGTGGTGATATTGTTCAGACGTTAAATCAGTTCACCGAAATAGTTTCTGCGGTGCTTAGAGTCTACAAGTTTTACCGTTATATCATGGAAAACAGACGCTCGAATTAAAACTCAAGCACTTACGGTGATGGGGGCGAATCTGTTTTAAGGAAACTATGTTTGCACAGGTCTCGAGTTGAAGATTTATTTATTTTTTGCAATTCACATATTTATTTATTTAGTGATTTACATATTTATAGTTTAATCTTATGCTTCGTAAATTTTTCAGTTTTTTTTTTTTTATGTGCTTCATATAATTTTACAATTTATTATTTGTATGTCGAGAAAAAAATCTGAAGAAAATTAATTAATTTGATAACATTATGTTTGATAGTTGTCCAACCGGCATTTATTTAGATAATATATGCAAATATGATATTTCTACATTTTGGTGTATGTAAGTGCATATCTGGTATATTAGTTGCGTATACGGTATCTAGCAAATATGTATAAATCACTCACTGTATATGAAATGGAATAAAAACAGCTTGTTAAAATTTTGTGCAAATACGGTAAGTTGTTTGCAAGTATAGTAGGCTGCAAATATGGTAAGCTACTTGTAAATACGTTACGCGACATATACGGTATGCTTAAAATTAGTATCTAAACTACACATACGGTGAAAATTTCGGAACGACACAAGTGTCGTCACTGGACATGAAAACGACACTTATGATGTTATGTATATAAATATGAGTCTAAGTAGTTATGATCCATTCTTTCCCTGAAAAATAATAAGTGGAACTTATTTATATTGTAATTTGTACGTGATACATACAAAAGTTAATAAATATGTTTATTAACTTAATCGGCACATATAAGTGTGATAACTTGTATTTTCACCATCTCAATAATATTAAAATTATGTCATTTCAATCGTTCTTTGTGACTAGTCAATTTTTTTTTTATGTTATATACGTTAGTGAGTCCATTATTAGAGCCATTTCGTTGAAAAAATTAAATTACAACAAATAACGACTGTAGTGTCATTTTACTTAACAAATAACGGTTGGAGTGATGTTATATATTTCAAATAGCAATTGGAGTGTTATTACATCCAATGGTTGCAAATAATACAAAAAAAAAAAAAAAACACACTAAATACACAAACAATACCAACTAAATATTATTATATACTATTTTTAATAATAAAAATACAACATAGATGGGATTTTTAAGAGCATTTTTTCTCTTTCTTTCAATGTAAATGTATACTAAACAAACCCTTGTTCAAATGTGATTGAAGAGAAGAAAATATGTGAATGTAATTTTAAGAACTTAAAATTGAAGAAGATGAACAAGGGAAGAAGATATTATTTTCAAGAGAAAAAATAGAATTTTAAGATGAATTTGAAGAAAAAATGACGGGATGAAATGAGTAAAATTGGAAGGCATTAAATTAACAACTAAAGGAGAATTTTGTCATTTTGCCAACTAAAATATTTTACATTTTTTATTTGTTTTTATTATTGGTCAAAGGCCATTTCATCAAATACATTGTTTAGTTATGCTAAATGGCCAAATTCCCCAATTATATATAGTCAAAATCATGAAATAGATATTTCAGACTAAATCTAATGAAAACACTCAATTTAATTCAAAAACTTACATTTCTTCATCAAAAGCTTTCCAAAAAAATTAAAATTTGAAAATATAAATTTCTTTAATATTTTTGCCAATATATTCATACATTAAATAATGATTTAAATAACAGTAATTCAAATTTGTTGATAAAAAGACACGTTAAATATATGTATATTAAAAATTAAGAAATCAACTATACTCTTAACAAATGCATGACGCACTAACATTAAGATTGATATGTTGGAATTTGAACTAAAATGAGTCACGTCCATGTTCGAGGCTACCCATGGCATCTAATCACGTTTCTCGTTAATGTTAAAGACTTACACATTCTATTTTCAAGGCAAGTATTGACAATCAAAGTATTATTTTGTTCAGGCAAATATTAATAACCAAGATATAAATGTTCATTTGATGTAACCCCTTCTCTATGATTGACGTGAATTCAGGTAGGTTATAAACCATACATTTTGTTATTCCACGTGTTGATACGACATGTAAACCCGAATCACTTAGCTCACAATCTGTAATAGTCGACCCGAAATCCATAGTTACCCAAAAGTTATTGTCCATTCCTCCTGAATTTTGGAAATTCCTAGTAATTTCATTGAAATCGTCACCATACACCCACGACAAAGAAAACTAGAAGTGTAGGTGGCGTAGAAGATCCCAGGAGAAATGACTATTCTACTGCTTAGGATTCTCATAGAAGGCACCATGAATCTAACTCTATCGACCCATCTTAGCATCGTTCGACTCAATTTCTTTTAGGCCACATCTAATTTATACCACTAGTAGCCCTTCTATCGATTCAGTGCCTTGACGGTTCATAAGGGAGACATGAGAACAAGCTCGTAAATTAAAAAGTAATGAGTTGATAATTCAAGAAACTCAGAACTCAAAGTAAGTCTCGGGGAATGGATTCAAATCAATTAAATCGCAGTCCAGAAAGGTCACTCAGAGATGTGAACTGCTTTCCGACAACAAATTTTACATGTTTGTGCCATAAAACAAATCAACTACTATACATACATTGTATTACAAGGGCACTTCTCTTTTCAATATGATCACCAAGCAATGAAAACCCCTCTTTCATTTGTACTAATTCACACTAACCATTAATGTATCATTTTAGTATACCTCGAAAAATTTGAGAGGTCGAATCTCGAGAGGTTGAAGCAAGATTAGGTCGCAGTTTTCTGTCTCATCCATTTAGTAGCAGACCATTTCTCTCCCGACAATACTTTACATCCACCGTGTAGGCTACTCGGGTCTGATTGTCCGTCAAGCCCCTGTAAAACAAAACAGCATAAAGATAGAAAATAATTATTAAGTTAGACGACACACCCTCTCGAACCACCTCGGGATAGATTCATTTTCATCAAAACCTAACTCGGGAACAATTTCGATAAATATAGGTGGAGTGAAACTTAACTCAACTCAGCTCAAATACCATGTTGAAGCACCCCGATCTAAAAGCATAAGAAGTTAGATAGGGAACAAACTTATTTATTCAAATTATGTCTCAACATGCTGGATTTATTTTTTTAATGAGACTTGAATGCATAACCTCTACCTTAGCAGAGACAGTCCAGGAACACTAAATTTGTTCCCGCAGTTCATGAAAGCGTCTCCACTTCCAGTCAATCGACATGCTCAAGCATTCATTCGTATATTCTTTACGTAACTTATTCCAAAAACTTTAAAGATTTCTCAGGTAATTAATTGCTTTTAGCTTCTAGAGTATAATATTTCCATCAAACAAATGTGCCACACACAATATCGTCATAAAAAAAATTTTACACCGTTCGTAATTGGGACCAAGAAACTTAAAACTAAGAATCGATAAAACAATCATGAATAGTTGGTGCATATAAACATTTTAAATGGTTAATTTCGATGTTCGAATCTGAGGATCATGATATTATATCACATTATGTAACAACCGTCAATGGTGAATCAAGAAATGCCAAAACTAGGGGAAGAAAACAAACCATGCTCCAGAAAAGCACAGCGTCTCCTTTATTTGGCTTCACACACAATCCTTCAACCATTTTCCCACCACAGCTACACTCGCCTGATCCAGCCTAATAATAGTGGGAAATGACAATTAAAAAAATTATAAAAAGAGAGGCAACTAAAAGATAACAATCAGAACAATGAATATACAGATAGTAGTGTGTTTACGAGTGTTTTTGGACAAACTAATTTATGTACTTGTAAAATTATTTTGGGTGGAGACATTCGATGCATAAAAATTCATCATAGCAGCTAAACATGCTGCATAAACAAATACTTATAAAACTCGTGATAATAGTTTACTATTCATGCTTTCTGCACATTTATGCCACAGAACTTAGAATTGAGTTTAATTGTTTAAAAACATCCTAGTACAATTTCAAAAAGAAAAGAAAAACTGCTAACAATTATGTGTATGCTATATCAAGAACGCTGTTAGCTTGTTTTTAAGGTGGATTCTACCATATTAAACAGTAGTAAGAAATAAAAGAAACTGAAATCTATTTCACTGGACTGTGTACTCTGGTCCAGTACTTTGTACAAATAATACCGTGTGTCTTGTCACCAGATCTTAGTTTAGCAATTTGACACTGCAGCATGCTTACAAAGCCATCAGCAATTGGAAACTTGCATTCTACATACCAAAGCACATTTATTTCTATGTTTTGGTTTACAGGTTGCTAAATTCTTGCCTTGTTTAAGATGGTAATTTTAGTAATCATGATCAACCTGCTAAAGTTAGTTCCCAGGTCAACATCCCAGAATCACGTTCATTGTCTATCAGATAACCCTGTGTACGTCAGATCGTAGTTTAATATTTGGAAGCTCTAGCAGAATGCTAAAATACAAGTACAATCTGTGTGCCTGAATTAAGAATATAGTTCCGGATAGAAATGAGAAAAATACAAATTAACATGGCAACACTAACTAATAGTAAGGAATGTAGCTACCTGTGGGAAGAACGTTTCTCCTCCTTCAACATTGTCACTTAAGTACATAAGCATCGTTGCCACTCGTTGACCACCCCGCTTCAAATTAAACTGTATAAAAAAAAAAAAAAACATCATTTCTTTGTCAACACATGACAGCCTTTAAAGATGGCAAGAGCTAAAAGGATGAAAGAGATGCTATTGAGCTAATGAACATAATAGGAAGGCAGAAAAAGCTCACCGTGTCAGAAAAATAATCATGATGCGGTCTGTAAAACTGATTTTTTTCATACCTGTGCTGCAAAGGAGGTGTTAGCCTTGATATTAAAACCAATCACCATTTGCTTGAAATGGGGAAATAGAACAAGCATGAGAATTACACCCACCTTAATACTTGTATAAGCTCCCCATTTTCTATTGGTACTTGAGAATATACAGATATTCGTTTCTCAATTGCCTGAAGGTGAATGGCACCAAAATCATAAGTCCTATTGTGAGTAAAACATGGTTTACAATAAATCATAAAATGCAAGTATGCAACCACTGTCTAACTTCCTTTTGATGGAAATTGAAAAAAATGAGACGAATAAAGAACTACAATGCATGAATCCTCAAAGACATGTTGATGCACATAACACATCAATGGGAATTAACAGAGTTCAAAGCAAGTCAACCTGTATTAGAGGTTTTTTCCTTTCTTCATGGCTAAGAAACATTCCAGAGCTTGTTCTAACATCACTCTTGATACCCTGAGACATTATATAGTACACTCAAGTATATATGAGGAATTTACTGAAATTTGTAACAAGGATTGCAAAGTCATCAAAGCAAAAGAAAATTTAGTAAAACTAAGCAGAACAGAAAATAATAGAGAAGCACAATGATCAAACCATTCATGTATCCAGAAGGACTGAAATGCTGAACCATACCATGAAGTAAATTTATGAGTTAGTAGCTAATGAAGATATTAAGTATTAATAGAAGGTCATTGCAGATCATTGAAAAGAGGAGAAAATATATTATATATGAAGCAAGGTATGCCAAAACACCATCACGTCAGCACAATCAAATATTTTACATCATTTTTGTAGGCGTAGTAAACAACAGAGCAAATAATGCTGGATAGAGTACAAGGTATAATTTATGTTGTGCGAACCAGCAATGTTATGCGGGAATCCTAAGCCCAGAGTGGGTAGATCCAGTTTTCCAGATAATTTCAATACCTAGTGTAAATGCTAATATGAACGGTGTAAATTATGATTTGTACTACAAGAAATCAACAAACCAAAGAAAATGACAAGCCACGAGATTAGACTAAAATATTTGCTTTCTATTCCCACCTTTCCAGTTCTTGTATCCACAACTGTAGAAACCTGCAGACGAGGCTTGGCAAGTTCTCTAAGATAATCACATTCCTGTAAGTAGAAAAATGTTTTCCCTGTCTTAGTTGTCATTCATAGAGCAATAAACATTATAAGCATCCACAATTTAAATAAGCTATTTAACATATACTGCAAAGCCAATTTGTCAAAACGTAGCATAAATTCAACAGAGGCACACAAGTACCTATATCCTCAATCTTTTTCTTTGACAAAATACACGTTGAAAGCTAAGTTGCAAACGAAAGAAATAGAAAATAAAACACAAGGAGAAAGATGATGTGGTCAGGGAAGATTAATGTTCAGTTCTTAGGATCATGTGAAGAACAAGCAAGGAACTAATTAAAAGTCCAGAGCACAGAAATGGAAGAAGTGACGAGGAAAATGAGTTAATAAGGAAAACTTCTTGGGTCAACAAGAACAAAAAGAAAAGTATCTTAGAAATCAATTCATTGTGGTGGAAATATAAATGACAGAGGAGCAAGAAGCTTAGCAAAAGGAAGAAAGATGTTTTAGCTCAAATCTTGATGATCTGTTAATAAAATAAATTCATTAGATTTCAGTGTCTTGATGTAGAGCATGTAAATGGGATTGAAAAATAATAATAATAATAAAAATAGCATATTTGAAGTGAAATCCTACAGAAATTAAGCCCCTGTTTGGTAATGATTTTAGTCTAGATTTTAACTTAAGTGAAAATCAACGTTCAATTTTAACCATGTATTTTATGGGGCCCATTAATTTTTCAACCACACATTTCACCAACTTTTATCAAAATTTATTAAAAATCTGATTTTAATCCCTACCAAACAGGGGCAAAGTTTCCACTGGATTTTGAGTAGGCAGCTCTAGTACTTCTACTCTCGTGATGTATCGTAGTTCTTACTAAACTAGCCATCCTCAGCATTAGGGTTATCACAAAGGTTGCTGCTCCTTGTAGATCTCACCTTACGGAACAATTATGAGCAGAAATTGCAAAGCAGTTTATGCAACCTGGCTAGCATCAAATACTGCAAGTCACTTTATCATACTCAATATTGAACACAAAGCCGCAGAATTTAGGACAAAACTTTAGAGATTCCTGGATTCATAGTCTAGTTTGAACATAATGAACTATTAAGATGCTTTAATAGGATTGAATGACTAATCATGAATTACATTTTTCTGCATAACTGTAGACAAAACTAATGTAAACACAGAAATACACATTTGTTTGAGACAGGAACTATAGATCATCTAAATCATGCCAATCAAGAAAACATAGGATAAAACTGGCCTACCTCTGTACTTAAGAAGTTATGAAACACAATAATGCGCGGTGACCAGCTAATTATTTCAGGTTTGACCTGCATCAGAAAATGAATGAAGTCATAATTTAAAACAATTCTTAGTCATGATTGAAAAATAAATAAGACAAGTGGAGCTTTATTACGTATATAAGCTCATGTGTTCAGGCTTTCGCTTTAAGTGTAACTGACGTCAAATTTTGGTGCCATTTTTAACATTAATGCATCTTAGGTAGAAGATCAATGGCTAACCAGAGATTTGAGAACAACACAAGGAACTTACATATCCAAGACGTAAAATCAAGGCTTCTTCATCCTCCCAATGAGAAATACCTAGAAAAATAAATACAAAAATGCATAAATTTCCGTGATGTATTTATAATATGAGCAAATAAAACTGTGCTTGTTTTTGCGTTCAATTTACTTTAAAGGTAAATACCTCGAGTAAGTTGAACACCACCTCCATTCCGAGTTTCACGTAATCTTCTCAAGGAAGATTCAGTTCCTACACACCAAAATTTTCTGAAAAGGTTATTTGATAGAATATTTTTGTGCAAAATACGAAGTTAATGCGGGGAGTGTAACATTTTGTTACATTTGTAAGGTTCACAGTGTAGAGACTAAGTATGAAAGTGATCCACACGGCCAAAAGAAGAAGCAACATGATGTGAAAAGCATAAAACATATCCTATTGCAAGCTTCTAAAATCAGTATAGTACCATCACTCAATATTCTCAGTTCACCCAAAGGAGGAGCATAACATACAACAAATAAACAAAAAGATGTACTAGCACTAGTAATGAGTTCAAAAGTTACTGAAGATAATCTACAGATATAATATGCATCACAGGTTCCAACCACAAAGATGTAATTGAAACAAATCTGCCTAAAATGGCAAGCAATCAAATTTTGGCTTTGAAGATAATGTGTAGGTAACTTCAATGGATTGAAGGACCTCAACTGTACGACAATCTATAGATTTTGTATGTAAATTAAAAGCATCAGCTTGCGGACTTTTAGAAAAGGGTATTGTGGGTGGCCCCGAATTGCAATTACCTTGATAATGGTTGTTTATGCAGAATGACTATAAGATCAATTAGGATACAGAAACTAAGGATTTATAAGCTTTTGAGGCCTGTCACCAGACTGAGAATAGCATTGGCAATTTCCAGCAGGCTATCAGCAACTAAGGATTAAGTATTCATATGAGAAAGCGAATAGAATTGTCAGATTCTGTTCTAAAGTTGAGAAAAAAGGTTTCTCAATTTTGCACAAAGCACTAAGAATGCACTAAATATAGAAGAAATGGACAGTTTACGCATTGTGATTAAATATGCACAATCTTAAGTAGTTGTATCCCACGTTGACACAAACGTACTCTCCAAGTATTAGAAAGTGTCTAGGCTTTGGGAATTAGTGTCTATGATATCTTAACCTCACTTTAAATACTACATACAAGCATAAATTGAAACATCAACTCCTGTCAGCCATTGCTAAAAAAGGTTGATATAATCTACCAATAGAAGAATTTGAAAATATTGAAAAGTATATATAGAAAATAGCAAAGAACTGTAAAGATAATATCATAACAATTATACAAAACAGTTCAAGTTAAAAATTATTGCATAAAAATTAAATCTTTAGAGAGTAATGATTGAGAAATATACCATACGAATCTTCCAACCTTCGAATATATGCTAATTGCAACAGAGCCCCTGGTCAATGCATATTAAATGTCGTTTGCAGCATTAGCCCATTATTTACACAGAGATCAGGAAAACAATTAAAAACCACATATACATTGTTTGACGTCAAATTCACATTCAGAAGGTGAAGGCAATTCAACATAAAAGTCTACACGTTAAGCTTAAGACTGCAGGGCCAGAGAAACATAAATCCAGAAACATAAGTTTTTTTATTTTACTTTTGTGAAGCATGCATTATTAACTTCACCCTGCTCTTTATAGACGACAATTATCAACCTTTTACAAGTATAGGCAAAAAGTTGGAACATGTGAAGGATAAAAGAAATGTTTCCCTTTAGGCTCCCTTCAGTTCCGAACTTTCATCTTACTGAAAAATCCCTTCAATTCTTTTTTTTCATGTTAATGAATATCACCTTTAAAAGCTCAACAAGAATTTGGTTAATGCAACAAAACAGAGAAATTACTGCATAATTACCCAAACTGTCCAGAAAAAATGATTAATTTTAATCAATCTCCCATGATAGCATTTCCGATAATCATAACAAAACCTGGTCGTTAGTATGATCCAAAGTCCATCACACAACTGGGGCCTCATTACGACTACATAAACAGCTAAACAAAAACTTCTTCGACTAGATTGTAAAATAATTGATTTTTTTTAGATAAAGTAGATTTTCTTTCATACTTTCAGACTCAATCTGAGAGCTAATAAATTTGTACTAGCAAGTTCTTAAATTCATTTCAATGACCAATCACCAGTCAATGGCGTTAAAATTAAACATTTCTGCACAATTTTATTTTTTTTGAAATTTAAACAACCCTTTTCCTTCCTCCTAGATTTCCTCCTCTCTTTTTTTTTTCTTTTTTTCCTTTTTTGGTAAAAACAGTGTCAGATAAGAGGAAAAAAAAATGCCAGGTAGAGAAATCAAACGCTGAATTGCTCAAAACAAACACCAAACTGAAAGTACCAAAAAAACAAAATGTCCTGATAATCACGTCATATGAGATCAATCAATAAACAATAAACGTTCAGTTCACAAATTCATGTCAAATCAAATTATATATTTATATTTATATATAAATAGAAACACACGCACATGGATGTACAATAGGAGGATTACCGATTATCATTCCCATCGTGACAAATGTAAGAAGTGCGAAGACAAATCTCGTAGCCGGGGAAGCCATTGGAAAGAGAATGGGAGACTTCATTAGGAAATGTCTTTATTATTTACATAGGTTTTAATTGTCCAAGTCGTAACTGAACTTATCTGTGGGCTATTTTAAGTTTGGCTTAGTCAAATTCTCTAATTGTCCGTTTGATTGAAAAGAATCTCATGGAAAATTTTACATTCGATAAATTTCTTTCCTACTTTTGACTATTTGATATGAAAGTAAAAATGAAATTTCAATTCAAGGTACAAATACTTAAAGCATGTTTTTGACAAATTTCATGGAAATCGAATTCTTATGGTTTTGATGATTTTTTCTTTTCCAACTTATATGGAATTGATTTGTCTTTTTCACCTTTACAGTTACGTATTTTTACAATGGTCTTTGGTGCTAAAAGATAAAAAAAAATGTCCTTAAATATGTTATATAATTATAAAATATTATTTGATTTAAAAGACAATATTACCCTTTTAACTAACAAGTAAAAATTAAACACTTCTCATTTAAAATTTTAAAATCAACTCACTTTTCTTATCTGTTTATCCCAACACAATTAAAAATTCTCTCATTTTTCATCTGCTTTAACATCAAAATTTTAGAAATTTATTAAAAGCTAAACAATAAAATACTTTTTATCACTTTTGAGTCTGTAAGTATATTTACATATGTTTAGTATACATTTTAATCGATAAATCTTACTTCGACATAGATTCATATGTAAATATATTTTTTAACATATCTATAAATTTTTTGAGCAAAAAGGAGAAAAAAATGCATCTGCAGAAATATTCTTTCAAATGAGATTCATAGCAATGTATAAAGGGGATTGTTAATAGCTGCTGACAACAGTTGGATGTTAACAATCAGACCAGTCCCCTGGGCTGATAGTTATAGTCGGCCCAGTGCCAAGTTTTTTAATTAAAGATTCTATTGCCCAGTGGCTGACCGACATTCCGACTAATTTTTTATAATTAAAAATTATGTTTCGTCACGCAGATATGACTGTAATCTCGATTTCAGATTGGATGAAGAAAGATCGATGGGTATGAAAATGGAAGAATAATATACGTGGTGATATTCCAACGTTCATAACATAGAGTACATCATATGCGAAAATGTACCATGATTTACAAAACAAGCTAAAAGTCTATATCTCTCAGTATGGTATGGAACTGAAATTCCTATTCAATGAGCATTCATCCATTTCGATTCTACCTATGAAAGTTAATTCTAATACTGAAGTGAGTTATATATTTAAATTGAATAAAATGCGCATAACTCATTTTTACATGACTTTAGCGAGAAAGAATGTCGTAGAGGGTGAATACGAAGATTCCGATGGAAGGGTCATATGTAAATGATTTTGGCAACACAATGAAGATAGCTTATGAGGATGATGTGGTTATTCTCGAAACAATTGGTTCTCATCGTGATCTCACTTTTATGCACATAATTCCTCTGATAGTTTACGACAACGAAAATGAAAATGAATTTATAAATGAAAATTTGATTGCTTTATACAGTTGGAGACATGAAATGAGTGGGAGCTCAGGAGCTGGATTGAATAGACTGTCCTCTAATTCTTTGCATATGACTCCCAATAATAAGGATTTGCATGTCGAGTAAGTGTTTTCGATGAAGAGAGATTTGCAGGAAGTTGTACAACGGATTGCAATGAAATACAACTTTAAATTTAAACTGGAAAAAAAAAAGCATTGTTAATAGTTATCTGCGTCAATGACAGTTGTAGTTGGTGTTTGCAAATGACGAAGATGGAAACAAATAAGTTATTTATAGTTCGTAAGTATACACGAGAATATAATTGCGAAGTGAAAATTCATCAAAATGATCACGGGCAAGCCTAAGTATGGTTTATTGGTAGCTAAATGCGCGTTGGAGAATTTAATGAGCTCGACCGAGAAGAGTTATGTTAAATTACCCAAGTATTGTCATAGAATGGGAACAACTAATTCTGGCTTGGTATTTTTTATTGAGATAGATGGCGAGAATTGTTTTAAGCCTTTCTTCATGGCTCTTGGACAATATATTCAAGGGATTTCTAAATATGATGAGATCCCTAATTCTAATCGACAGTACAATTCCCAAAACTAGATACGAAAGCAAGTTAATTATTGTTACATATCAAGATATCAACATCCAAATTTACCTTCTTGCATTCGGCATATTCGATAGCGAGAATGATCTGTCGATGTACTGACTCTTTGTAACGCTGAGGGAAGTAATTGGGAATGTCAAAGATAAATGGTATCGCTAAAATTTTTTTCCAGGCACATTATGTGTATTACATAATATACAATGCAACCCGAAAGTTAGGTATCTGGGCAAAGGCATCGTTCTTTTGTTTATGAGAGTGGCAAAAGCTTACAGTATTAAAGAGTATAATAAGTTTATAGTTGAAATAGCAAGTAAATCATTCACGGCATGAGATTATTTAATGAAAATGGGGATTGAATATTGGTTGCAATCACATTTTTAGAGGACGTCGATACAACATGATGACGTCAAACTATTTATAGTCACTTAATGCATCAATTAAGAATGATCGAGAGATACCAATCATCTCAACGATTGAGAACATTCGTAACAAGTTACAATATTAATTTCACAACCGACGTGCGGAGTCACAGATTTGCATGAGCATGCTAGCCCCGACTCAGGAGGAAAAACTGTTCAAGATTTTAGAGACTGAGAGAAAGTTAAATGTGAAACCACAAGATGAGTTGCGCTTCTTTATGACATGTGCACGTAATATCGCATACATAGTAGACTTGACTGATAATACTTGCACTTGTAGTCGATTTCAGTTAAGGAGTTTCTCATGTGAACATACAATTGTAGTGACTATATATAGAGGTTTTGTAATGAGAACATTATGCTCTCCTTATTATATGACTAATTATTTAATAATAACATATGCTGATACTATATTTCCTCAATCGAATGAAGCCGTATGGGAAGTTCCTGATCATATTTTCCCATTTGATTGTTTATTCTCACTCGAAGTTGAGCCACATGATCCTGACAATCAACATACATCTAAAATACCATCTAACGAAGATTTTTCTCAACCGCGTGGGTGCGACAGATACAAAGTAATCGAGCATACTCATTAATTTTGTAAGATTCAGATTTCCCTGAATAATAATTAGACGAATATGTAATCTAAACTTGCAATTGCTTTCAAGTAGTCCTATTTAATCATCAATTATAGTTTAATATTCCGAATCAAGTATTAAAAAGTTGCAATTAGGTCCACATATTTTGTGTTCATACAATTGAAATATTATACAATGTAGTACGAATCACAATTAAATGAATAATATTTATATATTTTTTTTAGAAATAATATACAATATGCAATGACTTGAAATTAAATAATCAATTTTTATATTTTTGAATTAAAAAATTTATAAATATGACTGTCTCGCCGTCATCGTCGTCATGTCCCACACGATGACTAATATATCTTGCACAATCACCTCGTATATCTAGTCATCAAAGGAACGATCACAGCTATCGACTCTAATGTATGCTCGAACTAACCTTGTGTCAGACATGTATCGTCAAAGTCGACAAATATATAGTAGAATCAACAAAGACAATCTCCACGGTAAATGTGTGATGATTCACAATCACTGAAATATACATTTACATACAACCCGCCCCTGGCTTTTCCCGACACTCGATCACATTTCTATAACCCACTCATTGTACTCATACCCTACAAGTTGGAGTGACCGATGCTCAATATTGATCACACATAGGAACTTGGTGCTCAATATGACTCAACTAGGAATGTCAAATGATCTTGAATATCTCCGAGCTCGATCACGCAATAGATCTATGACCAGGTCGATGTGGTATTGCAGGAAATACCAATAAAAAAAGAAAGTTGTTTAATTGAATAAATAACAAATTATATAAGCATAATAAATAACAATTGCGATATTACAATTACATCATCGGCCAGCTAAGCTGCCGAAGTTTTGATATCTTGAAACCACTTATATGCATCCGGTATCGTCTTTTGAGCTACCCTATTGCTAGCTCTGAAAAAATGAAAAAGAAAAATGTTACAGAAAGCATAGATGAGTTAGTAGGGCACTGAAATCATAAAATACTTATCCAGATATAATTCTTCTTCACTCTGTCTCCAACCCTTTTCACTTGGAAGGGTCGACCTCTCAGAAGAAATTGGGGTATGTCCCGTCCACGAATGTTTTCCTCTTTACCTCAATCGTGAAGGGAGAAACAATATACTCTAACGACAATCTCGACCTTTTGTCGACCACCTACTCCGACGCATCAACAGCACGCTTTATTACCGCCAATGCCTGCTTGGGAACCAAAATGACATCTTCTTTTCAATTGCCACCTCTGCTGGTGCCAGCTCCATCACATCCTCCGTCCAAGGTACCGCCACCACCTCCGTCCTAAGGACCACCACATCCTCCGCCGTCAGGACCACACCCTCCTGTTCTACAAACAACAAAATGACTTTAATGCACCCTCATTTGTCCACATCAATGGGACACACCATGTATGGTCAGGTCTTCCGTTATCCTCTTCATCACCCTCTCTATCACTCCATCTTTCATCCCCTCGGCTATCTGCTATATCATCTTATAGCGCTGCGACCTCATCCTAAAAGTCTACTAAATGACCTCATAGTACTCCAACGTCATGACGTAAATCTGCTACCTTGCCTCTCAACTTTCTTCCCAGCATCCCAACCTTCTCTCCCAACTTTAGTCGAAGCGCTCTAATCTTCTCTCTAATAAATCCAATCGAATGTATGTAAAGGTCATCAAAATAATGACTCTAATTGTATGCAAGAGATTTAAGGGAAAGATATCTGAATGAGGAAAATAAGATCTCATAGGCAGAGGGAATCCTCAGCAAAGGTGATATTTGGGACGAAGATGATTGTTAATCAATTAGACTGCACTCCTACACAAACAAGGACAAAGAAAATTAAGAACTTAATTAAAATAGACAACTAATATGAAATGGTAATCAACAAATTATATTCAATTAACATGCCCAATCTCGGTCTAGGATG